ACCGGTGACATCACTGATAAGAACAGGGAAAGATATAATTTGAAGTACTATATGGATTTGGTTGATGAGCTAGTAAAAGCTGGGATTCACATCTTAGGTACGTTGATGGCTTGCGCCGATAAAATCCTTCAGTTCTATTTGTTTATTACTTTTTGGATTTGTCCTAATTGATTCATTATAAAGGTGGGTGTGGGAGACGGAGGTCTTGTTCACAAATAGCTGCGTCGTGTGTCATGACTAGCTGCAGCGTTCATCATTTCATGCATGAAACAAGCTCCGCGGAGAACTTTCTACAATACTTTGTGGGCACGATTGTGCACATGGGCGAGCTAAGCAGACGAATGGAACGAAGGGCGATGTGGGGCGGGCACTTGTTAGGCGTAGCGTCGGGGGTAGAATCAACCTTCCAAATTCGGAGAGTAGAAACCAACCGTTCGGACATGATAGATCAGGATGCGAAAGAAGAGTGAAATATTGGTGCCATAAGTAAAGGCCGAAAGGATTTCTTAGTGAAGGCACTACAAGAGACAAATGGGCGCGTCCCGCATTTGTTACAGCTGTGTGGAGGGCAGGTAATAGTTCTCGTACATCCTGAATTTTCCGGCAAAACAAAGGCAATTTTCCTTATTTCCATACATATCGTAAGATATAGGTCTCGAGGTATCGATGAATGGCGAGACGCGCGCGATTCCTTTGAAATCCATTGTGAATACATGTCAGTTACGCACCCAGATATGCCACTACTACGGTTCTGGATAGAAACAGTTCTTATCGCGGCACAAAATGACGAGCTCGTGCCCTCCGCCATTTTTTATTCCTGCTGGCAGTACCAGAATCTGAGTATTCAGCAATCAAAGACATGGCTGGAGTTCTACATCCGTTAGCAGCTCGCCTTTTAGTCGGAAGCATACGAGACAAGTTAGTGAACAATATCCTGGGTGTTTCCTGCATTTTTTTTTACATCACCTCGTTTCGGAAGCAGAAGCAATTGTTTCAGGCATCCAGATCTCCCAATACAGGTGCACACCCATGACATGGCTGGAACTGGTGTTGCTTCCATGCTTGCAGCAATAGAGGTAGACATCAGTACAAGATTGTTT